GGAAGGCGCAGACTCACAGACCAGCCAGCCTAACCCCATTGGTGAGCTCCAGGTTCAGTGAGAAATCCTTTCTCAAAAACCAAGGTAGCCGCTCGCCTCCCAGACTCAGGGAACGCATCCGAAGAGGGGTGGGAAGAAGGGAAGGGCAGAGGATGGGGAGGGACGCTGCGAGACGCTGGTTTCTGGACAGGGCATGGCTGCGGCACCCACAAACTCGCTACAGCTCTGGCGAGCTCTTCCCTACCCAAGAGCAAGTCAACAAGATCGCTCAGCATTGCAGCAGATGGCACTAGATCATAAACTTGTTAGGAGAGCGAGAACATTAGGTTAGGAGGAGGGTGTGTTAGGGTAGGGGTGGGAGAGAGGAGTTGGGGTGGATACGATCAGCGTATACGTGTATGAAATTTCCAAAAGACAAATGAAGAATAAAAAAAGTTGGTGAGCTGCCGGGGTGGCGGCTAGGAAAATGATAACACCTGCCAAGCAGGCCTGAGGACCTGGATTTGGATCCCTAGCATCTAAGTAAAACGCCAGGTGTGGTGGTGCACATCTGTAGCCCCAGCCCCAGAGGAGGCAGAGACAGGAAGCTCATTGGCCAGCATGCCTTAGCTGGACTGAGGATTGACAGGTTCAGTAAGAAACCCTGCCTCAAAAAATAAGGGGAAGAATAGTCAAGGAAGACATCCGACCTCGACCTCCAGCACATCCCTGTGTGGACACACACACACACACACACACACACACACACAGAAGCTAAGAAGCTAACGAAGGAGGTACGTGTTCCCTCACGATAATGTAACGTAGCGAGTGGAGCCCCCCATCTGTTTTCCTGCAGATGGGCCGTGCAGACCAGGCCAGTGATCTTCCCTGCGAATTGCTTTCATGGGCCTTTGTCTCCCATGCTGCTACTGTCCTCAGGGAACTGTAGTTCATGCCTCTGCACCACAATTTTCTTCAGCCATGCTTTGCTGTGGGACAGCCACTCGCTTCCAGTGACCTTCCTGTGATAAGCATGCTATCGCAGCCATAAGCTCCTTGCGATAAAAATTCGTAAACGCATAGAAAGACTGAAGGATTCAACTGTCTTCAAAGCGTTGACGTGGATTGCCAGTGTTTGGATCTGAAGTCCCGCCGGGTCCTGTGTGTGCTCATGACTGTGCGTGCGTGCATGTGTGCGTGCGTGAGGTCTGGAAACAACTTGCCAGGGTCCTTCTTCTCCTTTGACTCTGTGCGTCCCGGGCATCGAATGCAAGGATCAGGTTGGTGGCAAAGCTCCTTCCCCCAGTGAGTCATTTCTCAGGCCTCTCTGGCTTCTCACTGATGTCCCCCTCCCAAATCTCACACGACTGGGAATTCCTCCACAGGGCACTCTTCATGAGGAATGAGACAGTAAGTAAGGCTGGGATAGCCCACCATTACCAGAACAGCTTGGTAGGCTAACCACAACTTACAAAATGAAGCTGGAAGACAAAGTCTGACTAAGCTCCTGTCTTCATGGGTGTTGTTCTGCCGTAACAAGATAGATTAGAGAGTTTAGAAAGAAAACAATTGCCGGGCGTTGGTGGCGCACGCCTTTAATCCCAGCACTCGGGAGGCAGAGGCAGGCAGATCTCTGTGAGTTCGAGGCCAGCCTGGTCTACAAAGGGAGTTCCAGGACAGTCTCCAAAGCCACAGAGAAACCCTGTCTCGGAAAACCAAAAAAAAAAAAAAAAGAAAAAAAAGAAAGATAACAATTAATGCAGACACAGTGACATCTGCCTTCGGGGATGTCCCCAGGAACTTCTCTTTCTCTCTGTACCTTGGCCCCCAGCGTGTGGCTGGGAATGGCTGGGCCAGCGTTCCCTGGATGCTTATCAGCACACCAGCGCTCCAGGGATAACACCGATGCGTACACTCTGGTGTGCTGGCTAGGTTTCTATGTCGACTTGGCACAAGGTGTGGTTAACTAGAGAAGGAACCTCAGTCAGGAAATGTCTCCATAGGGTTGGCCTGTGGGCAAGTCTGTGGGGGCGTTTTCCTGACTGGTGATTGATATGGAGGGCCCAGGCCACTGTGCTCAATACCCAGGACACACTTCTTCCAGGCTGAACCCAGGCTGCCGGGGTTAGCTCAAGGTATGTCCTAGTGGTCTTGTGTCCTAGTGGTTCTGGATCAAGTTGGCAGTCTCAACCGTCACGGACCCTGAATGGCTCTCTGCCCTCTGAGTGTGTGTCTCAGCTTCTCAGAATGCTCCACTGCCTGGTGCGTGAGCGTGGGCGCTTGCTTAGCCTTTCCCAGATGTGTTCATTAGGGTTCTATGTGCTGATTGATAAACTCCGGTCAAAAGCAGCTTGCGTGCCTTCTGGTGTCCAAGCTCTAGCTTCTCTCTGTCTCTGTCTCTCTGTCTCTACCTCTGTCTCTGTCTCTTTTCAGTAAAGTATCTCTGAGTTTTGAGTTCTAGCTGGGTATTGCTGACCATCAACTTGACTGACAGGTCAGAGGAGTCCATTCTCTGTTGTGGAGCACTGTTTAAACGCTGGCGGGGTGGTTAGCGACACCTTGGGGCCCCATTCGACAGCAATACTGTCCACCAGTAGGAGTTGGAAGCACGTCTCCAGACACATCAGTTGTCCTTGGAGACCATGCCACCCCATTTAGGACCACAATTTAGCGGGATTTCTGTGTTAGCTGGTGATTCCAGAGACCTCTGGCTGAACAGTTGCTGGGAGAAACCTCTGGTGGGGCGTTCACCAGAGAAGACTGCTCAGGCATGGGTTTAAGCAGATAGAAAGTCTTTGAAAGTCCACCAGCAATTACACGGGGTGTTTGAGATTGCAATGTAGCATCAAACCTTTGTCAGGGTGAGCTTTTAAGCACAAAAAAAAAAAATGTTCTGGGTTGACATGTTCAGTTAACAAGAACAGTTAGCCAAGAACAGAACTTACAGAAGCCAAAAAGCCAACGTTGGTTCATTTAGAGACTTTCCCGGAACTGTGGACTCTGATGGATTAGACCTTTGTTTACATTTTGGCAGGTGGAGCTGTCTAGATGATAACTTTTGTGGCCTGAATGGTACTTCATGGAGTCAGTTGTGCTAAGGTCTAGAAGCCTCCTGAGGCCTGGGGCCCTGCTACAAACCAGCAGGCAGTCTGTGCCCTTCTGGCAAGGCCTGGCTCATTCAAGGTAGCCTGCTAGGGTGTTTTAAGCCAAGTCTTAAAAAATGCCTGGGATGCCTCTGACCGCAAGAGACAGAGACTGATGTCCTGCGTCCCTACCCTGGTCCTGGGATCTCAGGTACTAGGAGTGGCGTGGAAAACATGTGCATTTGTGACCAACCAGGGGTGGGCCTACACTGGTCTGTGGTCACACTTCAGGGGGGAGCGGTAGACTGAGGCTTTGGGTGAAGTCGTGGTGATGATGAGTAGGCGGGTGAGCAGTTATTCTCCAGAGGGCTGAGCTCTTGTCCTGGCCCTGTCCTGACTAACCTGTGGTCCAGCTGAGTCTCTTGACCAGGCTTGCATTGGTAGCTTCTCTCTACCTCTTCCAGGATGGTTGTCAAGAGCAACACAGAGTGCCGTTTCCAAAAAGACCCATCCCCTCTTCGTCTGTTGTACTGTTCCTCAGAGAACCAGAACCAAGCCCAGGGTTTCGTTCATGCTAGGAAAGCATTCTACACACCGAGCTACAGACTTGGGCCAGAGTTAATTGTTTTTTTACTAACACACACCCTACTATGATACATAGCAGAATTGTAGGGAAATCCAGTTAGGTAAACACAGCTCCTGGAAGGAATTTGTAAATTCATATTGAAATGTTAGTGTTCACAATTTCTTGATCAGCAGCTTGCATTTCTAGGATTTAATCACTAAATGTGAGCAGTGGACCAATCATTGTATATCAATATCATAGGATACTGTGCATTAAGCAAAACAAAAACGAAACAGCCGGCTTGCATGCACTGACAGAGTACCATGCCCAAGAGGTATTATTAAGTAAAATTACATATCATTGTGAAGTTCAAAAGGTATTTATTAAGAAAAAAGAGCAAATTACCAGAATATTTTGTACAGTAACAATGTCAAATGATATTTATAACCTGCATATTCTTAACCCTGCAAGAATCAACACTAAACTAGAGGCATTAGCGTTATGACTCAGTTTGTGTCTGGAAGCGGATGATTCCGTCCACAAGTCTAAGTCCCTGGGTGTCAATGATACAAAAACCAAAATCCAAGAGGTGAACATTTTCGAGTCGTATCTCAGGGCAGTGAGAGGGAGACAGAGGAACGGAGAGACAGGCTGAGAGAAAGACACGGACAAACGGTGACAGGGAGAACGCGCAATGCCCTACTTATTCCTGTCATTCTCTTCCCCATCCTCACCCCCAGCCGACCGGATGCTGCCTGTGGGAGGGCCGGACTTCCTTAAACAGTTCAGTGACTCACAAGCCAGCCTCTGGGAACAGCGTCACAGACTGTCGTGGTTTAAATGTAAACTATCCCTAATGTCCGGCTTCTGTGTTTGGCCCCAGCTGGGGGCACTGTTGTGGAAGGCTATGTGATTTGGGGGATATGGGTTCTAGCTAGCTGTGGGGGCAGGTCTAGAGGGTTCTGGAGAGAGGCTCCTGCCCAAGTGCTCTGTCTCCTGGTCCGGACTGTGTAAAAGCAGCTTCCAGACTCACACGGCTACACAGCTGCCTGGTCCCCTGCCTTCCTTCAAATGGTGGACTGTAGCCCCCGGAACTATGGCCCTAAACAACCACGCCGCCTGCTAAGTTACTTCTCTTAGATATTCTGTCACAGCAAGGAGAAAAGTGATGACTATCCAGAAACAGGCTGGTCACTGATCACCCAGGCCCCCTGCCATCAAGCTAAGCAGTCAGCACGGCCCTTGGAAAGTGGTACTCACTCTCAGCGCGCCTGCCCCCCCGCCCCCCCCCCGTGTGTAAACCAGGCTGATGCTGGGGTGTGTTCTGCTGAAGTAACTTATTCTGTGGTTGTGTGGTGTCCCCTCCCCCGCAGGATGGATGACATTCAGCTCTGCAAGGACATCATGGACCTCAAGCAGGAGCTGCAGAACTTGGTGGCCATCCCAGGTAATGTGAGTGACTGCACCCCAGGTAATGCGAGTGCTGCACCCCAGGTAATGCGAGTGCTGCACCCCAGGTAATGCGAGTGCTGCACCCCAGGTAATGCGAGTGCTACACCCCAGGTAATGTGAGTGGCTGCTGCACCCCAGGTAACGTGAGTGGCTGCTGCACCCCAGGTAACGTGAGTGACTGCTGCACCCCAGGTAATGTGAGTGACTGCACCCCAGGTAACATGAGTGCTGCACCCCAGATAACGTGAGTGGCTGCTGCACCCCAGGTAATGCGAGTGGCTGCTGCACCCCAGGTAACGTGAGTGACTGCACCCCAGGTAATGCGAGTGACTGCACCCCAGGTAACGTGAGTGGCTGCTGCACCCCAGGTAACGTGAGTGACTGCACCCCAGGTAATGCGAGTGGCTGCTGCACCCCAGGTAACGTGAGTGACTGCACCCCAGGTAATGCGAGTGACTGCACCCCAGGTCACGTGAGTGGCTGCTGCACCCCAGGTAATGCGAGTGACTGCACCCCAGGTAACGTGAGTGACTGCTGCACCCCAGGTAACGTGAGTGGCTGCATCCTCCCTTAGCCACCGCCCACAGCGCGTCTCTGCCCTCTGCACCCGTAGGATGGGAGGAGTGGGGTCGCCTCTTTTCTCAGTGAGGATTCAGTCTGGCAATGGAGGCGCCATGGTTTAAATACAAGTTCGTGCAGGGTACGGCGACACACACCTGTCATCTAAGCACTTGGAAGGCAAGAGGCAGGAAGACGGCCCGCACATTTGAAACCAGCCTGGGCTACCGACGGTATCTGAAACAAGACAAGCACAAGTTTATGTCAGGCAGGGCCACCTTTGACCTCAGGCAAACCACTTTCCAAGACTCGATTTTTCCTTCCCTGAAAATGGAATAGTAATATACCTAACATCAGTCTCATAGGGGCTGAGAGGAATGTTTCAGTGGCAGAGAGGATAGGGAGGGTGTGGTGGGCGGAGCCAGGAGGTGGGTGGCTAGAGATGATAGGAGGGTGTGGTGGGCGGAGCCAGGAGGTGGGTGGGAAGAGATGATAGGAGGGTGTAGTGGGCGGATGAAGAGCACTGGCCACAGCTGGGAGACTTGGGTCTGCTGGTCGGGGAGCTACACAGAGGAAGTCTGAGGAGGTGGCTCCCCTTGGCTGGCTGGAAGGACGGGCTGTGTCTGAGCATCCAGGAGAGGCTGGGCAGTGCTCAGCTAAAGGAGAACTAGAAAATGGAGGTGAGCAGCCCTGGGCCCAGGGTCTGTCAGAAGCCTGGCAGTCATCAGTTGGCCCCAGCTAAGGTGTGGAAATATCAGAGTGCTGTGGATGGGAAAGAAGCTGTCCCCAGGCTCTTTGTGAGAGTCCGTGGGTGCTGGCACTCGGAGAGTAAGGCAGAGAGGGCTGTGCAGTACAATGCGTGGTCCAGAGACTCTCAGCCGAGCCCTGCACCTTTATCCAATGGTGGTAGTTGGTGACTGTCCATGCTTGCTGCATGGAGGTTGGGCATGGCTTTTGGTCACCCTGCCTTCCCTTTCCAGGTGGTTCAGCGTGTCCTGTGTGTTCTACATCCACAGACCCAGCCGTGCGTGGGCTGAAAGTACCCCTGGAAAAACAATATCCCACTGAAAGTTGCACAGACCTTTTCTTGTCAGAATCCATGGAGGATACACATAACAACTGTTTACTGAATGTTTGTGCTATGTTCCATGTTCCAGGCAACCTGGAAGTGATTTAACATTTACAAGTATCCGGGGTCACATATAAATACTGTGCATGCGTGTACAGATATGTGTGTCAGATCTCCGGAAACATTGTCCATCTCCCTTGGGATAGGGTCTATTAATTACACTAGACTGGATGGCCATCAAAACCCAAGAATATGCTTATCTCCACCCTCCCAGCACTAAGACTGTAAGTGGATGTCACTATGCCTGGCTTTTTCTTCAAGACCTAGGAATTGAACTCAGGACCTTGGGCTTGGAAGGCAAGCATCTTGCCAACTGAGCCATCTCTTGGCCCCACAACACGACCTTTGCAACCTCAGTTTCTCCGCCTATAAAATACACACAAGGAGGCTCACAGTGCAGTCCTATCAGCAAAACAAAACAAAACACAAACAGAACTGAATACATGTCCACAGGCCAGCCTGGATTACAGCTTAACCCTCCATGCCCACAAAGCATGACCCCAGCTTCTGTTGGCACAGGAAGTGGCATTTACTGAACACACACTCTGCACCCTTTGTCTCTGTGGCAACCCTTGGAGTTTGGCCTTAGAGGGAACACAAAAATCAGTGATGATCCTGCCGGGGGTCTCTAGGGTAGGAGGTAGCTAGGGACTCAAGTTGGAGGAGACGTTGGGGAGCTGCTCTGTGTTTAGGGTTAATGGGTTCCTACTAATGACAGCCTTGTTGCAGATATGAGGGTCCAAAACAAAAAATAGAAAGAAAGAGGACTGAAGATAAGACTAGAAAAACTATTTTAAAACTTTAAAGCCACCGTGGGCTCCCTCAGTCCAGATCTCTAAGAATTGCCCATCTGCCTGCCCAGGGCACTGACGAGTTCTTTGAGATCTGAAAAGAAGACTAGAGGTGAGAACACAGCATACTGTCTCTCGGTGCCCATGGAGGACTGATTGCAGGAGGCTCTGAATATATATTCACCCTAAAGCTGGATTTTGTATGTTGGTCTGCTTTTTTTTTTTTTTGAAGCAGGCTGACCTCAAGCTCATGATCCTCCTGCAGGCTCTGCAGGCACACACACAGTAAAAAAAACAAACAAACAAAGGTCCACAAACAAAAAACGATACATTGTAGAGTGTGGTCTTTCTTTGCCAGTCTCCTGGGCCCTGCCACAATGTCTGAACCCCCAAATAACACACAGGACGCTATATTAATTATGAAGCTGTTGGCCGTTTGCTTGTTTCTTACTGGCTATCTCTGACTTAAGTATTTAACCCATAATTGTTAATCTAAGTATTTCTCTCACTGGAGAAAAGGGTCTGGACATCTTACTCCTCTGGAGGCTACATGGTGTCTCCCTGTGTCTCTCTTTCCCAGAATCCTCCTGGACTCCCAGTCCCACCTATCTTGCTTCCCTATTGGCCAACAGTGTTTATTCAACAACCAATAAGAGACAGATTTACAGAATGACATCTCCCATCAAGACATGGTTGTGCACACCTTTAATCCCAGCACTTGGGAGGCAGAGGCAGGTGGATCTCTGTGAGTTTTAGGCCAGCCTGGTCTACAAAATGAGTTCCAGGGCAACCAGGATCATGTAGAGAGGACCTGTCTCTAAAAACAACAACACCCCCCAAAAAGCAAACAAATCAAAAATGGTATACAGAACCTGAGGAACAATGCCTGTTCCAGTTAGGATTACTAAGGCTACGAGGAAACACTGGGGAGCAAAGGAGTAAAGAGTTCATCTGGCTCACACTTCCATATCACTGATCATGCTCAAAGGGAGTCAGGACAGGAACTCACGAAGGACAGGATCCTGGAGGCAGGAGCTGATGCAGAGGCCACGGAGGGGAGCTGCTTACTGACTTGCTCAGCCTGCTTTCTTATAGAACCCAGGACCACCAGCCCAGGGATGGCCCCACCCACAATGAGCTGGGCCCTCCCCCATCAATCACTAATTAAGAAAACGCCCTTTAGTCTTGCCTACAGCCTGATCTTAGAGAGACATTTTCTTACTGAGGTTCTGCTAGATGACTTTAGTTCTTGTCAAGTTGACATAAACTACCCAGCACAACACCCAGTGTTAACCATTAGCCTCCACCTGCGTGCGTGCGCGCACACACACACACGCACGCACACACACACACACACACACACACACACACACACACACACACGAGTGAGCGTATAGACACATATGCGTGCCCATTCATACGCATAAACAAACACATGAGAGGTCATGCCTCCTCTTCAAGTTCGCCCAGTGATGACTTAACCACGCGTCCAGCACTGTCCCCTCAGACTCGGGGTCCCAATGCTTACACTCACTGCCTGTGTGATTTCTGTCTGGAGTCAGGGTCTCGCATGCTGTCCCAGGCTAGCTTCAAACTCACCGCTCTCCTGCTTCAACCTCCTGAGTGCTGGGACTGCAGACAAGCGCCATCATAGACGCCCCCTGTCTTCCTTCCTCCCAGAAAAGGAAAAGACCAAGCTGCAGAAGCAGAGAGAGGACGAGTTGATCCAGAAGATCCACAGGCTGGTGCAGAAGAGAGACTTCCTGGTGGACGACGCCGAGGTGGAGCGGCTAAGGTGGGCCCTGGCCTCCAGAGGCCTCTCCACCCCCTGAGCCGCCTCCGCCAACCACTGCCTGCCCCTGACACGCGTGGCCTTGCCTCACAGGCCTGGCCTCTGCCATTGCTCCCCAGACGCCAAACCCTTCTGAGCTCAGAGCCTGTTTCACATTCCAGAGAAGCACCATGTCATCCCCCAAAGGCCTGTGTCTCTCGGCCGACCGCAATACAGGCAGGTGGGCAGGGAGGGATTCTATCGTGTGGGAGAGGACAACGTGCCCGACACGTGGCCTGGGCGCCTCAAAACTTCTATCAATGTGTACAAGCATTCCTGCCCCGTGACAGCGACTCCCAAGTTCCCAGCTGTAGCCTTTTCCTTGCCAGCCCCTTTGGTTTTTCCCCACCAGTCGCCTGGGCTCTGCCGCGTTGTAGTCCCCAAATGAACACACAGGACGCTGTATTAATTATGAAGCTGTTGGTCTTGCTTGTTTCTTACTGGCTAGCTCTGACTTAAGATTTAACCCATCTAAGTATTTCTCTTACCGGACGGACATCTTACTTCTCTGGCGGGCTACATGATGACTCCCTATGTTTCTCCTACCCAGAGTCCTCCTGGACTCCTAGTCCCACCTCTCTTGCTTCCCTATTGGCCAACAGTGCTTTATTGACACATACACAGCTTTATGCATTGCAGTCCTTTTTGTCCCCTCATGCTGTTTCCTATCAATTCGTACCTGCCAATCTTGGCCTGGAGCCCCACCCACTCACCCCCCACCCCCATCCTGGGCTCTGGAGCTGCCCAACTAACTAGAGGCCCCTTAGGATGCTGGGTCTGGGTGCAGCTGTGTGCCTGCCACCCCAGGGCAAAGCCTTTGGAGTCTCTCTCCGAGTAGGGGCAACTTCCTCTTCATCATCCGTGTCCTCTGAGAACTTTGCCAGTGTCTCCTGGGCTGCACAAAACCCATTTTACTCGGGAAGGTGAAGGCCACTCTCTCTCTGAGGTGGACCCTGAACCTTGTGGGAGTCGAGGTGTCTGGACTAGCTTGAAGGCCTGGAAGTACTGCCCAGTTCGCTGTGTCCCAGCAAGGCGCCTGGGTCCTCAAGCGTCCTTATTTCTGCCTCGAGGTCTCACTCGAGCTCTGGGCCAGCGTTGATGCAGTGCTGTGTGTCCTCATTAGAGGCAGGGCTCACTCAACAGAATCGCGGGCCACGGCGACACGCCACACGGTAACACCCACGCCACCCACAAGGCCCGGCGTGTCTCCTCATGCTTAGCTGGCGTTTTCCTTGCTGACTTCATTCCCCTCTTCCTTTTTTCCACGTCCGACTTCCCAGGGAACAGGAAGAAGACAAGGAAATGGCTGACTTCCTGAGGATCAAGTTAAAACCTCTCGACAAAGCAGCCAAACCTTCAGCCAGTGAGTGCCTGCCTGAGGGAAGGGTTTCAAACCAGTGGGGGGAGCGGGCATAAACCACACCTCGTAAATGCAGCTTGAGCACTGGGTGGCAGCCGGCAGGGCCAGGCTCGTGGGTCTCCCGGGTCCGCGCCCTAATGTACTCCATGCGTGGTTCTGCTACAATTGTCCTGAGACTCTTGGTAGTTCTGGCTCCTTGTGTTGTCATTTTCCCCAAGGGTAAGGAGCAGGTCTGCCACAGCTGTCCTTCCACAGTCCCAGTCTGACCTGTCTCGTTAAAAGAACAGGATGGCCACCATGGCCTTCAGGAGCTCCAGCTGCTATTAGGGCTGGAATCTGGAAGAGCCAGAAACACAATTCTCAAAATAACTACTAGATACCAGACATAAAACAAAAGATACCCGGCCTACAATCCACAACCCCAGAGAAGCTAGAACCCTCTTCTAGAAACAGAGGGAAGCAGATGCAGAAATCCTCAACTAACCAATGGACTAAGCTCCTGGAGTACAATTGAAGTGAGGGAGGAGCAATAACATGAACAAAGGAGTCAAGACCATGATGGGGAAACCCACAGAATCAGCTGACCTGAGCAGTGAGAGATCACTGACTCAGGTCTGACAAATGGGAACCTGCATAAGACCGAACTAGACTCCCTTAATACAGGTGACAATGGTGTGACTGGGACAATATATGAGGCCACTGGCAGTGGGTCCAAGATCTAACTCTAATGCACAAACTGACTTAGTGGAGCCCATTCTGTATGGAGAGATACCGTGTCCAGCCTAGACACAGGGTGTGGGGGGTAGAGAGGTGCCGTGGTCCTCCTGCCTCAACGAGGTGATGGGACAGACTTAGTAGACTTCCTAGGGGAGGCCTCACCCTCTCCGTGGAACAGATGGGGGAGGGGGAGTGGAGGAAGGGGGAGGAAAGGAGGGAGGGTGAGCTAGGATTGAAACATAAAAAATAAATAAATGTTATTATTAGCTTTATGAGATACCCAGCGCAGAAAGAGTTTTACATGAGACAAGTTTGGGAACACCTCATGTGCACCAGCTGTAACAGTGGTCGGAGCCCCTGCTGCCAGTGTCTTCTCTTTCTTGATGTGACGTTTGGCAGATGTTTCTGACTGCTGCGTCAGTGAGGTCTCTTTTAGTTGTAGGAAGGGGATGTACTGCCTGGCAAAGGTGGCGCACGCCTTTAATCCCAGCACTCGAGAGGTAGAGGCAGGCGGATCTCTGTGAGCTTGAAGCCAGCCCGGTCTACAGAACTAGTTCCAGGACAGCCAGAGCTGTTACACAGTGAAACCCTGTCTCAAAAACCCAAAACCCAAAGCAAAGAAGTGGATATCCTTGGATATTGGTGACATACATTTTAATCCCAGCACTCAGGAGGCAGAGACAAGTGGATCCCTGTGAGTTCGAGGCCAGCATGGTCTGTATACACAAGAGAGTTCTAGGCCAGCTAGGGCTACAGGGCTACAGAGTGAGACCCTACTTTAAAAAAGGGGGGGACATGCCATATTAAATTTGGACTAAGCAGAAAATGGGAAGGAGTTGTTCAAGAAAGAACAAGAAATTGGCCTCAGGGGCATAACACTGTTAGACCTGCCGTTCTTTCTTCCCACAGCTCAAGTAGTTGTACGCTTGCTCCATTGCCCCTCTGTGCTGGGCCTGAAAGAACAGCTGGAAGGAGTAAAGGTTTATTTGAGCTTCTGGTTTCGGAGCTGTCAGTCCACCATGACTGAGAGAGCATGATGGAGAACAGCTGACACGGTGTCTAGGAATCAGAGAAAAAGGACCCCAGGAAGGGGCCAGAGCAGAACATACCCCGCAAAGGCACGCCCCAGTAACGCAGTCCCTCCAAGTGAGCCTTGCTCTGCCTCCTCCCACCTCTAGAGATGCTGTCATATTAAGAATCTTTCAGGGCTGGAGAGAAGGCTCAGAGGTTAAGAGCACCGGCTGCTCTCCCAGAGGACCTGAGTTCAATTCCTAGCACCCACATGGTGGCTCACAACCATCTGTAATGAGATCTGGCGCCCTCTTCTGACCTGCAGGCATACATGCAGACAGAACACTGCATACATGATAATAAATCTTCCAAATAAATAAATAAAGGTTAAAAGAAATAAAAAAATAAAAAAGAGAATCTTTCAAGGGATGACTTCATTGGCCAGGCCAGAGCCTGCCATTGTAACCTCTGGATACCCCCACATACACACCCGGAGGTATGCTCTACTAATTAGATAAAACGCAGAGTGACCAGCACAGCACTCTGGAAATATGACATGAGCGTTGTCCTACCTAAGCCGGAAGGTATGAGCCTTTGGGTTAAAGTGACTTGGACAAAATGTCCCATTTGTCCCGCACTAGGCCTGGAAGTCGCTATGACGAGAAGAACTGAGGCAGGTTAAAGCTGCACTTGGAACCCGAGGAACGAAAGACTGGAAGGTCCATGGATGATGGGCGCCGGGACACGGCCTGGTCATGGGCTGGGTTTGGGTTGGACGCCAGCGGTCGGGGAGTTCTCCTTACCTTCCTCTCTCCCTCCCCCTCGGCTTCTCTGTTGCTGCAGGCTCCCGGGCAGAGAAGAAGGCAGACCCCCCACCTAGCAAGCCAACCGTGGCCAAGACAGGCCTGGCACTCATCAAGGATTGCTGCGGGGCCACCCAGTGCAACATCATGTAGCCCCTATGTGGGGTGCCCCAGAGCCACGGGGACCGTCCCTCCTACCCTCTTGTCCTCATAGCCCCCATTCTACAGGGGTCTAAGGGGCTTCCAAGGCAGAAGGGGTTGAAGGCGTGCCCATGACTGCTACCGCGGGCCATGGGCGTGGCGGGTGGGCCCAGCCGCGGCTGTGCAGAGTGTAGCAACAGAGAGCCCCTCACTGTCGCATGGCCCTCCCCAGAGCATGCCCCACCCAGGAGTCTGTCTCGTTGTTTATCTAACCACCAAGAGAGCCCCTCCCTTGAAACAGTATGCCCTCACTAACCTACCATGAGAATGACCTGGGGAAGGGGCGTGGCCCCCAGGTGTGTATAGCTGTGAGTTTCAATGATCTAACACCGTGTCGGACCGACCCACTCCCCAACCACCCTCCCAGCTCTGCTTCAGGTACGAGTCCTGTTCCCTGTTTGTCCTCTTCCAGGGGCTGTAGCCTGGAGGCTTCCACACAGCCCACGCAGCCCTTAGGCTCCTCTATAATCACTTTCCTAGAGATGCTGGCCTGTCTGTGAAGGCTGAGCTTGTGCGCGGTGTTGGGTTTTATGCCTCCTGCTCCCTCCCGTCCTGCATCTGGGCATAGCTGACATCAGGCTCGTACCGCCAGGCTCCAGGACCCTTCTCGGTTTGGCGTGTCCACACTAGCGTGGAGCAGGGTAGGGACGGATGGACAAGAACAGGTCCAGTGCTCGGTGCAGGCTGCAGAGAGCTGCAGGTGCCGATGTCAAAGTCGGGTGGATGAGAGAAGGATCCAGAACAGATGCCAACCCACATTCTCTTCGCCCACTGAGGGCTGCTGCAGAGAATGCCAGCGAGAGAGGTCACCCTGCTGTCCCAGCACACATCTCTGTGAAGAGCAATTGATAGGCAGGAGAGGAAGCCCCGCCCAACTGTGTCCCGTCTGTCTGGTGGCGTGTGTGAACCAGCCCCACACTCCTCCTGTGTAACTTCATGTACATTTGCTATGGCCAGCCCGGCACAGCCCATGTGACCTCTCTGTGCATATGTGCGTGTTGTGATTGGCCTACGTAGCTAGCACCATATGTGTGCATATGTGTGCATATGTGTGCGTGTTGTGATTGGCCTACGTAGCTAGCACCATATGTGTGCATATATGTGTGCATATGTGTGCGTGTTGTGATTGGCCTACGTAGTTAGCACCAGTCAGGATTTGCTGATGTGCAAACTATCCATCAGAGAAAATAAACATGAAAAACACACACAGCATTTTATAAGCTCTCTTTCTTGGTTATGGACATGACTCGTGTACATAGGGAATCATTTAAAAAGTACAGAAAGTATATTAAAAAAATTAACCACTCACTACTTTCCCAGTGACCTCTGATTTTATTTTGACATATTTCCTTGGAGTGGTCTCATACATTTCTTTTGTCATGATTGGCATCATATTGAAACATTTCATACCCAGATTTCTTTTTCAGTTATTTATTACACCACATAGGCTTCTCCTACATCATTAAAAGCTCTTTGGTAACACCAAACAGTCTTCATAAATATGATGACTGATTAGTACTTCATCTCATGGGCATGCTGTTATCTGTCTTACCATTGCCTCACTACTGGACACCTAGACTGTCCCCACCTACATCTAGAATGTTCCATAAGATTATGAGCAACATCCTGAGGAGATAAACATTCATCTGAATTTCTGTCTTTTTTTCCTAAGGTAAACTAGAAGAAACATTATTGGACCATTGATAGAAGCATTTTCAAATTACTTGTAAACTTGGCTTGGGATGTAACTTAGGTAAAGCGCAACTTGCCTCCAATGCACAAAGCCCCCGGTTCTATCCCAGCTGGCGTGTAAACTGGGTGTGGTAGGGCATGTCTGACTCACAGAGCTAGGGGAAAGGACGTGGAGGTGGGAGGTTCAGAAGTTCAAGGCTATCCTTGGCTAAACAAGACCTCCATCTAAAACAAAAACAAAAATGTTTTTGGAGTGGACCTGCAGCGCCGTCGCAATGGTTTTGGAATTGACTTGGGTTCCGGCTGTGGGTCCTGGCATCTTGGTAGAGTGGAGTGTGCCAGACCCTGCACTCTGTCTCAGACGAGATTCTGCGTCAGCTGTCCTGACGTCCTAACCGTGAGGGTGCTCACTAGGACATTTGTCAGAACACTTGCCTCAGGGGACACCGCGTCCTCCTTCAGTGCCCTAGACCATGTGTGAAGCCAGGCTGCATGTGTGTCCTAGAACAACCACAATGAGAGCACAAACTGAGGACCACAAAAACCCAGCGTGAAGTCAAGGGGCCCCTGCCAAGGCTGCATGTGGGCAGAGTGCCCCTTTACTTGGGTCTTGGTTGGTTTCAAGGCCCCCCATCTCTGTCTCCAGGCATTCTCCTCTCTGATCATCATGTAAGACACCAGTGATAGAGTTTAGGGCCCCCTAACTCAATACGACTTCATGATCTTATGCAAAGACCCTACTTCAGTGAAGGCCAAATTCTAAAGGTCTGTTGTGTGACTCCGACTTTGTTGCTGTGATAGGACGCCTATTGCAAACAGCTTAAGGAGGAAGACCTTGGGCTCATGGTTTCAGAGGGATCTATCCATGGTCATGGAGCTCCTCCCAGCCTGTAAGATGGGGTTCTGCCACATTCAAAGTTGGTTTCTCCCTCTCTGGAAACACCTTCATAGACACACTTAGAGGTGTGCCTTGTTGATCCCCCACGTGCCTCTTAATCAAGCTGCCAAGATGAACCATCACAGGTGGACATGAAACTGGGGTAGATGTTGTCAACTTCTTATAGACTCTTACACTCTAACGCAAAACACTAAGACAACCAAAAGGGCTCTCTGCTGTCCCTTCCCCCATGGAAAGCACAGCAATCCAAGGGACCAAGAAGAACCTGTCCCTCACAAATATACTGCCTTCAGTTCTCCACCCAATACACTCCCAGCGTCCAGAACCCTACTAAGCTCCCAGCATCCAGAACCCTACTAAGCTCCCTGCATCCAGCACCCCACTACACTCCCAGCAGACCTGTATTATCTCCTCCTATTCCATTATTGGTTTTGAAAATGAATATCCAAGGCCAGTAAGACGGTTCTGTGGGTAACAGTACTTGTTTGTCACACACACTTGACGATCCAAGTTTCATCCCCAGAGCCCGCTGTACTTGCTACTTTTCTACTGCTGTCATGAAACACCATAGTCAAGGCGGCTTATTGTTTAAGTCGCATTTAGTTGGGCTTATGGTTGTAGAGGGCGGGTTTCTCTGTATTGTTTTCGAGGCTGTCGGTCCAGCCTGGCCTCGAACTCACAGAGATCCGCCTGCCTCTGCCTCCCGAGTGCTGGGATTAAAGGCGTGTGCCACCATCGCCCGGCTACTTATCTGTTTTTGAACTTTTTATTTACAGGTGTGTGTGTGTGTGTGTGTGTGTGTGTGTGTGTGCGCGCGCGCGCGCCACATGTATACAGGTACCTGAGAAGCCAAAAGAGGCTGTCAGAGGCCATGAAGTTGTGAGCTGGGAACAGAACTATAGTCCTATACAAAACAGCCAACACTCTTAACTGCTGAGCCATCCTTCTGGCCCCTTTGTACATGGTCTCCGGCCATGTCTCTGGTCGGGTGGACTCGGCACTAAGCCCAGCTTGGCCGCAGGCTGTCTCAGATTTGCAGGCATCCTGCTCTTGCCTCTCCGACGCCAGGGTTGTAGCCTAACTTCCTAGTCTCCTCTAAAGCTTCCTGGTCCCGGGAGACCCTCAGCAGTCTTCTCTTTTCTCTCTTCCACCCCTCAAACGTCTTGGAAAGCCAACTACACACAGGCAGTTCCTAGACTTGTTCTTCAACCTCAGTCTCTCTCCTAAACTCAGACTCATCTCCACTGGGATACAACACGCATGTTGAAGTAACGCATCCTAAAGCAAGGATTGGCAAGCTGCCTTCCAAGGCCCACCTACCTTCTGTCCTTGTAAATCAAGTTCTTTAAGACTTTATCTTCTTTTTTTTTTTTTTTTTTTTGGTTTTTCGAGACAGGGTTTCTCTGTATTGTCTTGGAAGCTGTCCTGGAACTCGCTCTGTAGACCAGGATGGCCTCGAACTCACAGAGATCCACCTGCCTCTGCTGAGATTAAAGGCGCGCGCCACCAATGCCCGGCTAAGCCTTTATCTTGATTTCACGTCTATGGGTGTTTGGCCTGCATGCATGTCTGTGCACCGCCTGATGCATGTGCCAGCAGAAGCTGGAAGAGAGGATTAGGTTTCCGGGGACTGAAGTTGTCACCGCCATGTGGGGGCAGGGAATGAGTGTGCCCAGGTCCTCTGGAAGAGCAGTGTGTGCTCTTAAACATTGAGTCACCTCTTTTCCCCTGTAGACAATGTTTATTGTAAAAAAATAAAAGTCCCTCTCACTCATTCAAGGCCCACGTTTGGGTGCTTCTGTGCTAAATGGGAGATCTGCGTATTGCCGGACACATAGCCCACAATTTACTCTCTGACCCTTAGGACAAAATTGCTCAACTTCAGGCTGACAGGACAGCTCAGCAGATGAAGCGCTTGCCACACAAGCCAGGAGTCCTCAAGTGGGTCCTGCGTGGGAAGGAGAGAACTGATTCCTCAGAGTTCTCCTTTGACCGCCACACTCATGTTGTGTGGCTTGAGAGTCTCCCAAGCCCCATTTGTGCCCTACCCGCTAATAATAAATCCTTGGAAAGGTTGGTTGATGCGGTCTAACTTAGTACTAAGTTTCTTCTGAGTATTCCCATGCTGGGGAAGGGCACCCCCTGTTCCCAGCTGCCCAAGGCTGTCCTAGGATTTGCCCTCCTGTTTCTGACATGCCTGTCTTACATTTCCACTCAACCGCTACATTTTCAGCATCTACTCCATAACCATCCCCAGAATGTGGCCTCGTTGGTGGCCACTGCCATCACTCCCTCAATTGTTGTCAATTGCAACCACTCATTAACACTCATTTGAGAAATGCCTTCACACAGCAGCCTACTTTCCTAAGCCACTTCATGTGTGTGTGAAGGGACAAGATTGTAATCTTCCATACAACTTATCACCCTTGCTGTACCCCAAGTCTGCAACGAGCATTCTTCCCGCCAGCCTGGTCCCAGAGCCGTGTCAGTCCCAAATGAACACACAGGACACTATATTAACTATGAAGCTGTTGGCCATTTGCTTGGTTTCTTATCGCTAGCTCTGATTTAATTATTAACCCATAACTGCTAATCTGAGTATTTCCACGTGGTCTTCTCTTACCTGAGAAAAGGATCCAGACCTCTTAATTCTCTTGCGTCCTACATGGTGACTGCCCATGCCACTGTTTCCCAGAATCCTCCTCGACTCCTAGTCCCACCTATCTTGTTCCCTATTGGCCAACAGTGCTTTATTCATCAACCAATAAGACAAACACACACAGAAGGACCTCCCCCATCACAAGCCTTACCTCCTGATGCAGAGACCGCAGGAGTTCCTTGGCTCCTCTCGCCACTGTCTCTGTTGGCTTGTCTCCTAGATCCTCACACACTGTCCCCCTGCCGAGGGCATCTGGGTTCCTCACCAGCCCTTCTTCCCAAGGTTCTGCCTCCAGATGGGTCGTGCTGTGCTCTGCAACGGAAGTGGTCTTTGCAGAGCACAGACGTAACGGGGCTGCTGCTTGAGGCCCTCCTGTGCCTTCCCACGGCCTTGGTGGGCGCATCCAGGGCCCCCGGCCAGATTTCTTAGGCCCACACAATCTAACCCTTCTGTCTACCCTCTTCCCAGTCCCTCGCCTTGGTTCACACTGACGTAAGGGAATGCAGACAGACTGAACGGGAGCCACTAGGGAAGAAGGCGGTCCCAGCAGAGGAGGAGGTGTTGTACAGCACCCAGGGTAGAAGCCAACACACCAGACAAGGAAAACTCTCTCTTCTTGCAACACTGCGTGGCAGTAGGGTTATCATTTCCAGTTGTAGATGGGGAAACTGAGGCTCAGAGTGGGGGAGCGATGAACTCAAAAGTCGTATAGCATGTAAGTGATGGGTTCAGGGACCAGGAGTCTTGCGCTGTCTATGTGAGTCAGTCAGTACCTGGCACTCATTTTATACATGTGGTTCCAGAAGCAGCATCAATAGCCTTGCTGTGAGGGACCAAAGGGAATTAACTCACGGCCGTGACAGCAGTGGAGCCTCAAAGGAACATTCCTTGGGGCATGACTCAGCTCACGCACAACGTGAGAAGCTGCAGTCCCACCGAGCACAGGGGACACCACC